GGACGGTTTGTAGAAAAACTGTGGGCCTCAAAGAAATCATTTAGCTCTCAGTCCGCTGTATGCTTCCCGCAATCGCATTCCAACTTGAACAGGTCTTTGTCAAAACTTGGAAAACAAATTTCTTCTCTTGCAAACCAATAACTAGCAACAGACAAACAGTTTGAAAAGTTGAAGCACCCGTAAATTCCTCACACAATGTTCGTGGCAAAGCGAGATGTCGCGCGCAAGTAATTTTTCGCCACACTGTATTTTCACTTTGAATTCCGAATGGATCAGCCCACCTACACATTACGCATACGGCGTGACCCCTTATGTTTTATAACATTCCGTTTTATTGACTAAATTTAATATTTAACGGTGAAGGGTTTAAGGGTTCACAGTCAGTTAAGCATGCTACTACTCACCGCTCCTATATACTTGGTAAGTGCATATTTCCATATCCTGTCACGTACTCTATGGAAAAGTCGCTCAGTGACAAACATTTAGGCATTCCTTGTCGCACCCGCACGCGCTTGTGAGTCATTACACTCATGTTCGATCGTTGTTTTTAAAATTGTTCACAGCAAAACTTTTCAGCCATGTGCTCGGACGCGGAAGGAATGACCGATGAACTGAGGAAGATTTTTGTTGACAAACACAATGAGTATAGGTTTGTGTCTCTTACTCAAAATTACTAGAAGTTGCTCAGGGATAAGACTACCCGAGATGATTTAGGACGATGATTGCTAAGGGACAAGCCGTGGACAAGATCGGTGGTTATGCACCTAAGGCAGCAAGGTTGTTGAAGATGGTATGACTACAAGGCAGCCATACTGCTCCCAAAACAATTGCGATAAAGGAACAAACCTCGTATTTGAACCTCCTGCTGATAGCTTGTTGTTGCAGAGTTACGATTGTGCTATCGAAGCAAATACGATGGAATATGTGAAAAAATGCTATTTTGCGCACAACTCATACAAGGAGAGAAACTATTGGGGGCAGAGTATATGGGAGATAGGAGTGCCCAATTACAACAAGACTGTATCTGCAGCATGGGTGAGTCAAATAGGTGTGGCGGCTTCAGAAAGAACTTCAACAGAAGTGGCAACAATTCCATTGCAGGCTGTAGACTGGTGGTTCGGCGAATTGAAAAAATATGGCGTGCCTCAAGATAACATACTCACTGGATCTATTTTCGGGAAAGTTGGTCATTATTCACAGGTAATACAGATTCTTGAAACAGTGTCAATAAACAATTTGAAACAATTTAAAACAGTGAGAGTTGTTTTAGCTGGCGTGGCAGTGGACGTACAAGATTGGATGTGCAGTGCACTGGTGTAGCGACATGACCTTCGTTGCATGCGAGTATGATCCAGCGTACGTCTATTTGTTTTGTACAAACAAGATATTTCACATTACGAATAATATGTTGTGCATTTTTTTCAGAGGGAACTTGGTGGGCAACTTGATTTACGAAATCGGGGATCCCTGCAAAACAAATGATGACTGTAAATGCACCGGCTGTGTCTGCAGCAGAGAAGAAGCGCTCTGTATTCCTCCATCAACAACCACAACACACTCTGAAACTTCCACGCCGAAGTTACCTGAGAAGAACAAGCCAGAAACGAAAAACCCCGAAAAACCTGCGGAAAAAGACAACAAAAAACCTGCAGAAAAAGTTACCAAGAAACCTGCAGAAGAGAATGCCAAAGACACCAGAGAACGGAAAGAAGTTGCAGGAAATACCAACGAAAAACACACCGAAAAGCCGGCGCCTATGCCAGGTAGCGCTATTTCTTTTCTTTTTTGTCATTAAACTCCAACATTACGCAAAAGAAACATTTTCAGGACCCGTAACAGTGCATTGCACCCTTGATAACGGAATGACGGATGAAGCAAGGCAAATGTTCCTAGACAAGCACAATGGATATCGGTAGGTTTCAATACAAACGCTGCGAATAGTGTAATCAAAGCCGATATTTGTTTTGTCCGTTTAGTTCACTTGTTGCAAAAGGGGAAGCAAAAGATGGACTCGGCGGATTTGCACCAAAAGCTGCTAGACTGACAAAGATGGTATAATCAATTGGAACAGATGCTTAGATGCTACTTTAGCTTACAGTAGGGTATAGTGAGCAACAGAAAGAAAATGGTTGTAGAGGGAAGCACAATCCCATTGCGAAGGCTCATAGAAGCTTGTTACAGAGCTACGACTGCGACGTCGAGAACAGTGTGATGAACTGGATTAAAAAGTGTAAGTACGAGTCATCCCCTTGGGATGATAGATTGGGATTAGGGGAAAACCTATGGATGACTACCCGAACTAAAATGGACAAGATTAGTGCTGCTGACGAGGTGAGGAATCGAAACAGGACATAGCGGCGTAAGAAATAGCAGTAATTTATATTGCAGAGCACCTCTAGTTGGTTTAGCGCACTGGCGAAATATGGAGTAGGTCAGAAAAATATCTTCACCAGAGAAGCTTACTTAAACGGAGTTGGCAATTACACGCAGGTGTCACAACCTATTCCTATTGACGGTTTAGATACCATTGATGATAACGTTGATAGCTTTAGATGGTGTGGCAGTCGACTCTCAAGCTTGGATGTGGAGCAGAGTGGTGTGACGGTATGACATTAGTAGGCTGTCATTACAAGAGGAGGTGAGCGTTCTCCTAAAATGTGAGGGTCCTCTATACTTGTGAGTCCTACTGTAGTGTTTTGTTTCCAGTGGCAATTTTGTTGGTGGTCTTATTTACGAGGTTGGAAATCCGTGCAAAACAGATGCCGATTGCATGTGCACCGGATGCACTTGCGTCCGCGATGAAGCCCTATGTATTGTACCATAATCAAAATGGCAATAAATATTCGTCCATAGACATGTGATCTCTAATATTTCGGTGGTTGTGAAGAATGGACAAAAAGCCATTCATGTCCTGCCAAAAGAACAACTTAGCGTTAACACCACAAGCTATAATTCTTTAGTCACGCTCTGATGTTTTCGTTGCCTTTCTAAACCACGTTGAGATTTTTGTAGGAAGTACTATACAAGACATTTTTTGTTGAGGCAAGCTGCGTTTTGAGTTGTCATTCAAGGAACTACCCAGGCAACACTTGCTATTGACTATAAATATGCTACGGAATAACCACGATTAAGCAAGTAACAGTGTTGCTCTGCATTCAGGGAATTGATTGCCTGAGCTCGACTGCTTTTTTTGGTCTGACTCGATCCGATGAATGCTTCTGAGTCATCTGAATTTGGCAGCAAGACCGTCGATCACCATGAAGTGCACAGTGTAAAGGCAGCGCATCATTGCCAATCCCTACACTTACCCACTCCATTCACGTGCACACTGTCTGATCCCAGGTGGCTGAATTCCTATGGGACCGCCCCTTGTAGGATATTGAGTGGGTGCTCTTCCCTTTATGAGCAAAAATCCACAAAATGGCAGACAGCAAAGGTCTAATGCAGGCTGAACGCTGGCTCCATTTGAATCGACGCACGACCTTAATTTCTCCTGCACGTTCTGCATGTGCTGTCGAAAATTTCTATTAGATCGTCTCATAAGTAGTACCGCTTTTTTGAAACGGAAAGTTTCTCCTAAATTCTCGAGTTTACATCATTTTATAACCGTTCGAAGGATATTGGTCTGCTTTACAGAATCGCACGTTTGTCTCTACATTCGCTACAGAGTATTTCAGTTTTCTTCCAAAAACCGGGAGGTCCAGTCGAGGAAAATTAGGCGATAGCTAGCTTGAACCGATTTTTGCTAGGAGCCCCTAGAAGGAGTGGAAGAACGATATAGCTTCTGCTCAGTCTTCTGAGCATTACGCTGTCAGGCTGCCCAAAATTTGCGTCTTTCTTTTTCAGATTTATTTTTCACGCCCGGACCTCCATTGTAAAGCGTATCGCGTTAAATCTGGACCCCAGAAGTTTCAGAGAACATCGAAAACTGGTGCAGTGAAAAACTAGTGGGGTGCCAAGAGCACCTCATGACAAATCAGAACAGGACACAATTCTGAATATATGGAACTTTTGTTTTGTTGTTGTTTTGTGTACTTACTATTTTTTTCTTTCTCTACATCTCTTTTGTTCTGCTTCTTTTCTTTCTCTAATTTCTTTCTTTTGCTCATTTACTCAAATTTCGAATACAAATATACAAGCCATACGTGATACAAAGTTACGCCAGTAATTTTTGTGCTTATTTATCTATTTTATTCTAATACACACAGGGCGGAAGTGGTGTAGTGACAAGTGGCGCGCTTACCACGCGAGCGGTCCGGGGATCAAATCCTGGGTCGTGAGTCGCCCGGGCCAACCAAGCCTTCCATCCCTCCGGGGTCGGTTAATTGGTACCAGACTTGTCTGGGAGGATAAAAACACTGACTTGTACATCGGCTGGCCCCCGCAAGTCATTGTATAGGCCACATCGCATTCAAACGCCACTGCGAATGTACAAATGGAAGTAGAATGCGTGCCGCATCCCAAAAAGGGATTGATCAACGGCAAATGCTTTATCCTTTATCCTTTATCCAATACACTCAAGGGTGTGCGCAATCACGGGAAGAGTACAATTTGTTGATGGTAGTCCAATGCGATGAGATGAACCGATCGGGCTGAAGACCAGTAGGGCCACAGCGAGGTGAACGCGGCACCTCAGGTGGCATTGTGTGCCCTGCGTTTGCTGTGGGAGGCACCATACTTCGTCAAACTCAAACCGATCCTCGTTTTCACTCAATCGTCTCATTGTGACGATTAGCGAACCACACATATGGGCCGGGTTGACCCCGCACTCAAATAGAGGCATGAGTAGGCTGGAAACCTCGTCTGAGGCACTAAGAGCTACGAGGATTAAGTTCCTTTTAGCTTCTTCAGCTCAATGGTATAAATTGTTTGGATCATCAGCTCAATGGTATAAATTGTTTGGATCAGGAACCCCGACAACTCCGAGAAAAGGAACACAATTGGCTAAACATCGACATTTGTAAATCCACGCAGTGATGTAAACGGTACACGCTAGAAGCCACACAAATCCTATGGTACCAACGTCTAAGTGCTTCAGAGGGCTAGGACACTTTAAAAAGTGGTGAGATGTCCCTTCGCCTCCGCGCATTTGCTGGGCGGTTGCCCTTTAATAACACGATTTCTGCGATAACCTACGTTGGCATAACCAAATAGCATACCCATCAGTTTCTGGTTATTTCATTCTTGGGCCAGTGAAATTGTATTGAATTTGTAGCTTTGGAAGCATGTTTAGCACTCTCTCTCGATTTCTTCCTACTATTAGGCAAAGAAAGTGTATGTGGAGAAGAGGTAATTATCCAACGAGTGAGAATGAGCAAAAATGGTCTGTAATTCAAATAGCACACATATACACTCCACAATCCAAACCAGAGTCGAAGAGAGCCCTTGAAACAGATAAGGGCTCATCAACGACACTTATCTGGGCAACGGGAGCGGTAGTAAAAGAAAAAATGATGTCGCAGTCTCGACAGAGATGCTGAAAGGATTTGTGAAAGGCAACGGGAACACTTACCGTAGAGCACTAAAGTCTGGAACATACCGTAGTGATACAGTTCAATGTAGGTAGTACTGACGTCTGCAGGCAGCACCCTCATCTCAGGCAGTTCCTTCACAAAATGCTGCCTTGGTAGGTACCGCCCACAGCTGAACGAAAGCGACGATGTCACTGCCCTCTTTTTTGAGCAAGAGCAAGTCCAGCAAGACGTCCTGTTACACTTTATTTACACCTCAGAGATATTTACTTGCTTCTAAGAAGAAAAGATCGGTGCAAGAAGGAGATTCTCAAGCATCGCATTTCAGTGGTTGAATGCCCACGATAGCCTCAAACGATTTAGTACAATAATAGCGGAAGGATTCAACCTTCAGGGTTTTCAAGTTCTTTTTGAAATGCGCCATGCACACCATTCCAGTTCATGATCGCATCCACGCGAATAGATGTAGCAAAGTAAGTAAGTAAGTAGGTAATGGTGTTGAGATGAGATTTGACTTACACAGGGCGCGCCAAAATTATAGCGACCACCTAAGCCTATACATGGATCATTGTTCAAGGTACAGGACTTTTATGCTCATTTTGGTTTTGATGTGTTACGCTGTTCATGCTTATCTAGTTTGTTCCCCTAAATGCATGACTGTTACGGTATCTGGGTGATACGGTCACCGTTCCTAACTCAATATCCACGCCAACGGATTTGGCAAGACTTATCAGCGCTTCGATGCAAATACGATATATGTATATGGATGCCATTTATAGATTCAATAAACGCTAGAAGAATTGAGAAACTGAATACAATCGTTCTGAGTTGGGAATGAGTTCTTCTGTAAGAACAACAACACGAACAATTTAAGTATGGTGCGAGATAGCATTTGCAGGCACTTGGAGCGATTGATTTGCCAAAAATTACGAGAGATGAAGAGCTGGAAGGAGACTATTTGAGACTTCTCCAAGCGCAAATCGCTATTCTAAGCTTATTTTTACTTTGGAAACCGCTGCTGGGCCTTCTAGCTCCTGCTCACGAAGCAATGGTGAAAGCTGAACCAGAGCAAGAAGAATTTTGTCGAATTCATCAGCTTCAACGAGTGAAGTGTGACTTCGGATTCTAATTTGATGGATCCCATTGTCGAATTGATTGTGAAACTTAGGCTTGCGTGAAACTTCAACTGCAGGATTTATTTGAAATCGCTTCCAGGAAGCGTACAATGAGCCTCACCACATTGCGGGACACAGGCGAAGCTTCCTTTATACTTCTCAAGGCTTGGGTGAATGCCAACGGAGGAATTTCTGTACTTAGCAGAGGTTCAATTCATGGTCAAATAGTAAACGCTCTCTAACCACTAAAATTGTGTCGTGTTCTTGGCGAGCTAAGAACGTTGTTGCTATGATTCTGGCGCACCCTGCATAATCACTCGCAAGGTCAGCATTTGCAAAGATTAGATTCGTTTTCCTCCCATACAGAACAGCTCTAATTACGGACCAGTACTATTTCAGATGAATGTGAGAAACTTTTCCTAAGCGAGTACCTGTTCAAAATTTGATCTCTGAATTACGCTACTGGTGACGAGCCACTTGTCACCAACTACGTCCCATAGTTTGCAGTACACATTTATCTCAACATCTTTTTTACTTTGCATCCACTTTTTGCTGCACTTTTCAAGGAATCGTAAGCAGAAAATCATTTGCGTTAGGTTAGTAGTTATTTCTCTCTGGTTTTGGGGTGTTCTGCATCGTTCAACGTTTTTGGATCTTGTATAACGGCCCTGAATATCAGTGTGCGTCATACTACCAGCATCTCCTTTCTGCCAATTCTGAAACTAATATCTCAGTGTAATGAGTA